CCAGGGGCGGCTGCTGCAGGGGCCAGGGGCTGCTGCTCTGGGTCCAGGGGCGGCTGCTCGAGGGTCCAGGGGCGGCTGCACCAGGGGCGGCTGCTGCAGGGGCCAGGGGCGGCTGCTCTGGGTCCAGGGGCGGCTGCTCGAGGGTCCAGGGGCGGCTGCACCAGCGGCGGCTGCTTCAGGGGCCAGGAGCGGCTGCTATGGGTCCAGGGACGGCTGCTCGAGGGTCAAGGGGCGGCTGCACCAGGGGCGGCTGCTTCAGGGGCCAAGGGCGGCTGCTCTGGGTCCACGGGCGGCTGCTCGAGGGTCCAGGGGCGGCTGCACCAAGGGCGGCTGCTTCAGGGTTCCGGGGCGGGCGACGGGGGGCAGCGCACCGTCACCGGAGAAGGTGACGCGTGAGGCCGGCGGCAGGCTGCGCGGGCGGCTGACTTAGCGCGCGGGGCCAAAAACGGGCTACGCGGGCGGTGGACGCGGCGCACAGGGCCTAAGCGAGCTGCACGCGGGCGGCTTACGCGACGCGAGGACCGGCGGCAGGCTGCGCGGACAGCTGACGTGGTGCGCGGGGCCAAAAACGAGCCTAAACCGGCTTAAACGAAGAGCGCGCGGGCTGCTCAAGCGGCGCGCGCGGGAAGAAAAAAAAAAAAAGGGCCGCGCGCGTGCAGCCGAGGCGTCCGCGGGCAGCAAGCAAGGCAGGTGAGGAAATGTGGTAACGGTGGGCCCTTATCTTAGGTCCTAGAGACCTCTAGGCTCTAGATACCATCTTATAATCTTAGGCATGAAGTTGTCGGATTGAGTAGGTCAAGGGGGGGTACAAGAAGAATGTCGAGAGAAATATTGTACCCCCTAGTGCTAACCCCCATATAGCCTAGACAACCTAAACATAACATATAAATATAACTTGACATATACCTGCAAGGGAGGCCCTTCGTCTTAGTCACAGACCACCAGCCCCTAACTTGGCTGATGACCAATCAGGCACTGACGGGCAGGAATGCCAGATGAGTGATGCGGTTGCAAGAATACGAGTTTACCATACGACACCAGGCCGAGAAGACACTGCAGCACGTAGATGGGCTCTCGCGTAATCCTCCACCCACGAGTCCCGAGGCGTGTTTGGTGGCGCTAGTGAGGGAGATAGATGGGGAGGGAGCGAAGCAGAAGGCGCAGAAGGGGGCAGAAAACATCTGGGAGGATGCCGAGACTCTGCGCTGGATCCAAGGCAAGACCTCAGAAGCGGAGCCAGTGAGTGAAAGGGCCCGAGCCAGAGGGCTGCATTTCCAATGGTACCAGGACCAGCTGCAGAAAAATACTAAGGAAGGGTGGAAGCTGGTACCCAAACGGGAGGAGAGAGAAGGGATTATCGCGAAAGTGCATCGGCAGCTGGGACACTACGGCAGTCTGCGGACCAGCCAGTTGATTGAGACAGGGTGGTGGTGGGCGGGCATGAGAGGAGACATTAAGGAATGGGTGGGCTCCTACGATCTGTGCAGCCGGAATAAAGCGGAGCTAGAAACGGGGAGGGAGGAGCTGCAGTCCCTGCCCATCAGAGGGATAGGTTTCCGGTGGTCGCTGGACTTAGCGGGGGAGATGCCGCTCAGCAGGAGGGGCAAGAGATTCATCCTGATCATGATTGAGCACGGCAGCAAATGGGTGGAAGTCAAGGCGCTGCCTAGTAAGAGCTCTGCCAAGATAGCGGAGGCATTCGAGGAGCAAGGGTTGACACGCTTTGGAGCCTGCGGGGAGGTGCTTACCGACCAAGGCACCGAGTTCTTAGGGGAGTTTAAGAAGCTGCTGAAGGCTAGCGGCATCACGCATCGCAGGACATCTCGGTACCATCCACAGAGCGACGGGTTGACTGAGAGGTTTGTGCAGACGGTGAAAAGAGGATTGCGGGCCTACGGGGAGCGGTTCAAGAGGGACTGGGATACGCGGCTGCCTTGGGTGGCGGCAGGTTACCGATTCAGTAAGCAAGCAGCCTTACGAGACTTCTCCCCATACTATTTGCTGCTGGGGAGGGAACCTATCCTGCCAGTGGATGCGCCACGGCTCCACACTGACGTCGTCATTATCAGCTCGGACGAGGCATGGGTGGGACTGGCAGAGGCGCGTGCAAGGTACCTGAGAGAGATGCTATCGGCGGCATTAGAGAACTTGCAAGTGGCGCAGCTTAGGGATGCGCAGAGATACAAACGGAGGAAGGAGGGATCGCCAGGGCAAAAGGGGCAGCAGCTGGGAGTGGGGGAGGAGGTGTATGTCAAGCAGGCAAGGCAGGATATGCTAGACATAGGGCTGAGCACCGAGCGGTGGAGAGTGAAGGAAGTCAAGGATTCCGGTGTAGCGGTGCTGGTAGGAGAGAAGGGGCAAGAGAACCGGGACCACCGAACGAACGTGGCACGAGCCCGGCCCCAGAGGGATCCCCAAGTGCCAAGGCACAGTGTCAGGCCTGCAGGAGAAGGACAGCCTTTCGGCCAGCAGGTCCATCGGTCGCTAGAAGCTCAGCAGGCACCGAGGAGGGGGCAAGTGGGAAAGGCTGGGAGGGGAACACAAGGCATGAACCGGGAATTGAGGAACCTGAGGGGGTGAGAGAAGGGTAGGCCAAGGGAGTACTAATAAGGGAGAGGAGAGATTGATATGGGAAATGATATGGGTTATTCCAAATATTATGATACTATCACAATGCATACGTTCCCCTTGAGATCGAGTACACTACGCGCTCTTTCCTATAAAAATAACGAGCCAACCCCATCCTTCAACCTCATCGGCTACGTGGACGCCGATCACGCAGCAGACCCCGACAATCGACGATCCAGAACTGGGATCCTGTTTTGCCTCGAGCCACCAGGATAAATCTCGTGGAACGCGCAGAAGCAAGAGCTGGTTGCCCTATTATTGGCCGAAGCTGAATTCATCGCCACGACAGCAGCAATTTGCGAAGGCCTCTACCTGCAGGATCTCCTGTAAGAGGCAAAAATCCCAGCCTCGCCGACTTTTCGCCTGCACTGCGACAACCAAAGCGCGATCCGAATCGCAAACAAGCCTGGATTCGTCAACGGCACCAAATAAATCGCGATGTGGTACTTCTTCGTCAAGGACGAAGTGGACAAGGGGAAGGTGGACTTGACCTAGTGTCCAACAGGTGACATGGCAGTTGAATTCCTGACAAAGCGACTCCCACATCAGCAGTTTCAGCACTGCTCCGAACTCAGTGGAGTAGTCTAGCAGGTTATATCAAGCTACGAGAAGGAGTGAAGGGGAGTGTTACGAATGATAAATTACGAAAGAACACTGTGCACTCGACAACAACAAATGAAGCACGCAATATCGGAGTTGGAGACGAAGAGTCAAAAATGACTCGAAGCAACGCAGACAGTTGGAGTGCATCTAGACCAACCTTCTAAACAACCTACAACCTAAGGCCACTTGACTTTCTGCATCGCTAGGTCGTAGGTTGTTTTTGGGGTTTGGAGATTTTGTTTTTCATTGGGGGAACCTTCATACAAAGGTTGCCATGATTGATAATCAGTATGTATTATATATATTTATTGATGTTGTGTTCTCTGGTCCATGGCCTGAAGTTGTTGGTACTCTAAACTGAACGTCCGTATGCTGCAAAAAAACAAGTTAAGGTGTACAATTTTGCGTATGAAGCTACACGAGTTCGATTCATGGCAAGCGTACCTTGGGAACCTCGATTCAAGGCCCAAGTCTCGGCAATCCCTTTCTCTCCAACAAAGCAGCATTTGCTCAACCTCGCAATCTCGTTCTTTAGCGCGGTTATAAAAGGTTGTGTACCTTTCGTGTCCAAAAAGCGGGGTTCAGTGCGTTGAGCGAATCGATTTACCCCCGATCGAGCACTTTCACGCCCTTATGAGTGTTTTAAACCGAGCCGCCTTGCTCTCACACCCACGGAGCGTCATTTGCTTCCCATGCGAATCAAGCGCGACCGTCGCTCGGAATTCGTCCCGTGATCCCCGTTCGAACTTGCTACTGCGTTCCTCATTCCAATGCGGTCCGCTAGCTCCCACTAGGCTCATCTCCTCCCCGTCTGTAGTCCCCCGCCATTCGCCGCGCAATCCACAGCGATATTTGTGGTTAATGGCGACAAGAAGTAGCGCCCACTGCGGGGAGGGAAGCGAAGCAGGCGAGGGTCAGGCAGAGGAGCGATTAGGATCGGACGACTCACAGAGCCTTGCAACGCGGATCCTTCACTATAAGGGCGCCGACTTTGATCCATACGGGGCCGTCAGCACACCGATCTATCAAACAACTACTTTCCGACAGGTCAGCGCGTCTTTATGCAATGCAGTCCCAATGCGAATTGGCATGTTATTCTTGATTTAAATTATTAGGAAACTTAAGAGTCGGCATGCCAAGATGCACGTCCCTTTATCTACCAAACGGCTAAATCTCGACAAGTCAAACGGTGAAGCTCGGGGTACATCGCGAAAAAGGGTCTGGCCAATTTTCGAGTTAAAGTCTCAGAGTTGCAGGAAAGTTGCACAAAAGCTGCAGAAAAGTATCCGAAAAACAACAACCCGAAATTGCATCTTACCCAAAATGCCACCAAGTCCCGCACACTGAGAAAGGCAGCCGGATGCCAGGCGGTTTGCGCTTCGGAACGTCCAAATTCCAGAGCGGCTCGGGAAATCTCGCACATTGGCAGACGCGGTTCGACAAAAAAGCACACCTTGGCACCGCATACAAGGAACACTCGCTTGTGTTTTGCGTTATGTGTTTGTACACTGCCGCGAGAACGATCCCCTTAGGGTTTGCAGCCTATCCCCAAACTACTAAACGCTAACCGACAAAGCAACACACGTGATACAGAAGTGCATTCGTTATTGAGTAGCAAACACAACACATGGAAATAATATCGCCCAATTCACAGCTCATGCAATCCGTACACACACATTAGCTGAAATATTGTGACGCCACCGTCGCATAGTGCTCCCTATGTTCAGCCCCCCCATACCACAATGATAAAGCATAGCCACCCTATAGCCCTAGACCAAGCGTACGACGCTCTCTTTGTCATCCTCCACTGGGAACAACACCCCCGCCTTCCGGGATTGGCCTGCCTCATCCGACGCGTCAGACGTGATCCCCTCATCACTAGAGCGGTCCGTCCGGTTGCGCTTAGTGGGCGTGCGTCGAAGGCGGCTCACCACCTCCTCATTCACCACTCTGGCCTCCTTTGGCACGTCGCGCGGTGGAATACCCAATGCCTCCGCCTGCTTCACGAAACCATCATGAACCATGCGGCTCACGCGGCGACAGCTACGGCTGTCTCGCATTAGCGGCCCCTCCGGAATGCAAAAATATGCCGGAATCTCATCCTCGGACTCGTCCTCTAAACCCCTCGCTGGCGCCCACTTCTCAATAAGGCCTTCGTCACACCCCACAAAATCCCACGCCGTCATAAACGCCGTGCTGCTGCACTTGCCTTTGAACTCTTCAATCACCAGCTGCAGACTCGTCAACTACAGCACCAGACCGTCAAACATCCCTGCCGCATCTTTCCCTTTCAAGCTGTCCATCCGCGACAGCCAGCCCTTCGGCACGCTACCGGCCCGCCACCAACTCCTCTGGATTGTCCCCGGCATCGTCAACTTGCACGCCATGAACAGCTTGTACAGGACTTCGTGCAGCGGCGGCCGTAGAAAAATGCCCGCACGGGTCCACTCCGTGCTCGTGACTGCCGTTCGCAGAAACCACGTCCGGAAAACTGCCTTCAATGTGTCCACAACACCATTTATCGCAGAAAACGCAGCAGCCGGCATCACGCCAAATGTCTGCACAACCTTCACCCGTGTCAGCTCCTCCATGACAAACCCCTCCACCGTGCTTGTCCGTTTCACACACCCGGTGAGGGTGTGCGAAGGGTTGTGTACAAGCACCACCGCCTTCTCGTTCTTCGCATGCAACTCCCCGTTTAACTCGCCGACGAACTCAGTGAACAACTGCGCACGCAACACGGCGGATGTCCGTGGTGACGACATGAGTACAGAACGACGGCCACCAAAATTGCACCTCATAAACAACGACGATCAACCTACAAACCCCAGCTTTGAACCCGCTCACCTCGCTAGAAAAGCGCCTATTCTTGGCGTAGCGCACTTTCACAACATGATTCTTCTTGCGCCCCTCATGTACTGGCCTCTTGTCATCCCGTCGCGAAGTGCATGCCATGACATGATGTGCATGTCACGGTGACGCGACAAATGGCATGCACTTACGAGTTCGCGCCACAAGTACTTCAGATCCACACATCGTCATCAACGCCCCCTCTCACCCTCGATGTCCTGCCAAAACGTCCCCTCTAAAGTGTGAGGTTGAATCAACCTTCTTTTCATAGGACGGACACTCCAGCATACTCCCTCATTACCTTTGCGCAGTTTTCCTTGAGCTTGACCGACGATCGTAGACATGTCTCCTCTTAGGCGCGCGCGCGACAAGCAGTGTGCTTCCAAGGGCAGGTCCACGCGCGGTGCTAAGGAGGGCGACGCAGGGGGCGACGGAGACGTGACGGATGTCAGTGCTATTGCGCGCTCCCTCCGTAGCGGAGCGAGGCAATCGACCAGCGGCAACACAGCTCTTAAAGAAGGCATCGACTCGGCCGGCAGCAAACTCCTAGCCCAGCAGTACCAGACAAAGCTGGAGAAGGAGACGGAACTTCCCGAGCCGCACGATCTGGTCTATCGCTTACTGACTGCCAAGCAACCACAAAAGATGGAGCAAATGACGTTGTTCAACGCGGATGGCGTTGGTTGTGTCGTGGAGGCGTCAGACATCATAACCATCGCTGACGGGAAGTGTGTCACCGACGCGATCGTGGACTTCCACAACGTGTGAGCGATTTCGTCGGTTTTTTTAAGGCGATGTGTCATGGTCTGCCTTGTGTCCATGATTGTTACCCGTTCCCTCACTGGACAATCGCCTGACTGCGCGCAAACTGCTGAGCATCCGTCAACCCACTACGCCCAATGGCACTTCTTGGGCCGCGGTCGACAGCAAGGCTTTCGACTACGTGAACACTTTCGGCAAGCCATACTCTATGGACAACGGGTCCAGAGTTTTTGACGTTGACTTCTTGGCCATTCCCGTCTTCAAGAGGTGTGTGCTGTTGATTGAACGCTTTGGTTTTCATTCATGGTGGCACGAGTCGCTGCAATAATATGACGCGCGTGCCTGTTTTATGCGATATGCTGCAGCTCACACTACTCGCTTATGATAGTTCCGTGCCCTAAGCGACTGCTGGGAGGAACGTCTGAGGAAGTGACTGGACCTCTCAAATTGATTCTTCTCGACAGTTATGGCACGCACTGTGACGACCCTACGGTGTTTGATGGCGTCAAACGGTAAGCTGCTGCATGTTTTTGTGGCCGTGTTAGTGAATTCGACAATACACTACGAGAATGTCTGACCAAATGTCCGGATTTCTTGCGTTCCAGATTATTGGAACTAACCGCCAAGGCCCTACACCCTCAGTGTGACGCAACGACTCTTGTGAACACACTGAGAGATGCGAAGCCGCTTCCCATGAAGGTGGGTCCTGCTCCCCAAACTGAGATGTGTTGACACACTATGTCAGCGTGTGGTAACGGCATGTTGTGGCCTCTAATGTGCGTGCAGAAACATAAGGTGCAGCAGCAAGACAACAAACACGACTGTGGCATTTTTGTATGCCACTATACGAAAGTCCTTGTGGATACTGATTTCAAGAATTTGCGCTCGTACCTGTACCTGGAGGGCATCAGTGCGACGGAGTTCCGGCGCGGCATGCGGGCCGACCTATGCTTGCATGCGGCTTCTGACCTTATACCGGCGCTGATGAAGATGGGTGTGGTCGTACCTAATCAACCCGCGGCTAGGGTCACTAAGCATGGAGCCGTCGTGGATTCTGGAGCGGAGAATCACAACACAAAGCTGACACGGATGCAGGTGGAGCACTACGGCATGAAGAGGGATCTTGCGATCTGGAAAGCAGCAGTCACCGCCGTCGGAGCGGCGATGGGTTACAGTGTCGATCAGCTCCTTGCAGGAGCTGCACACGTCTTGCCGGCGCAAGGTTTTGAAGGGGGCGCGGCGACACCTGGGGGCAGCCGGTCCACTGCACCCTCCACCCCCAACCCCCGTGCAGCAACGCAGCTTTGCACTACCGACAGCCCCGGTTCCAAAGGAGGATCTGCTGAGAGCGTAGCAGTGGACGGTGCAGGCAGTGGCACAGTCAAGCTAGGGGTGGTTCATCCCAGCCCCTGCGCGCTACCCGTGCCTGCCGCTCCGAGGTGGTCGATAAATGGCACAGAGGGAAGTATGCACGTCACGCACCAGGCAGAGCCGGCGGTGGCTCATGCATGTGGAGCAAGGCTCGTGGTGCTGGCTATGCCGGCAAAGAAAAAACGAGAAGACCCGCATGCGTCGGGGGCAGATGCTGAGGGCGGCGCTACTACTTGCAAGAGCAAGGGTAAGGGACAGGGTCGTAGTTCACAGTACAAGGGTGTGCGCAGGGAGAAGCGCGGTAGGTGGAGCGCCAAGATTTTGTTCCGAGAGAAGAATAAGAAGAAGCGGACGCAGATGAGGCTGGGTGTGTACAATAAGGAGCTGGAGGCTGCCACGGCGTACGCAGCAGCGGTGCACGTGGTCAAAGATGGTAAGCGCGTGTCAGGCATAGTGGAGCTGATGGATGAGGAGAAGGGTATGCTGGAGGGGTGCACGTTGGCAGCTGTCAAGCGGCTGGTTAGGAGCCGTCAGTGGTTCCGATGGCAGGAGTGGAAGACGGCACTAGTGGACTGCACGGAGGAGGAGACAGCAGAGGACGGCGATGAGCACTCCGACTCGCAAGATGATGACGCGGGGGATGCAGCCGGATGTGCCGTGGAGGAAGGAGATGAGGTGATTGAGTTGGATGGGGAAGGGTTGGGCGACGCAGAGGGAACGGCCGGGCGGGGCATACCTCATGAACTCAATGAGGACGCTGCTGCAGCGATGGGAGGTGTGGCGGACGAGGGTATTAGGACGGGGGTGGCTCTGGGAGATGCATTTGAGGGGGCGTTGTTCGACGAAGACCCAGAGGCGGTGAAGATGGAGTGATTGTGGAGTCAAGTTGTTTGCCTGTTGTAGCCGGAGTAGGTAATACCTAATTTGTGTCAATTCATGATATAGTAGGTTAGGTGATACCTACTTTGTAGCTATGCATGATATAGTCTCTTTGGGCGTTGGGTTCAGGTAGATTGTGTAACGAATACAAACGGCTCCGCGCTTATGTGACAGCCATATTTGCAAAGGCAGTTGAGTGGGTGATGTGGATGGGTAGGATCGCGAGGGATACAATGAGTGGCTCACGCGTGTCTTGAGATCGGTGATGCAACAGTATACCGTCTACGATTGGCTGACGAGATTGCAGACCTGCGCACGCCCTTTGGTGATTGAGACGTTACATCCTGTGTGCATATCTGCAACAGAGAGGGCTTGCAGCCGGAATGCGCATACTTTCACTACATGGTGTGCGGTAGCAGAAGTTGTTTAGGTTTGACTTTCGGGAATGGAGACTTCTTTGGGGACGTCGGAGGAATTGCCCGCAGGCCGGTCGCGTAGGGCCAAACGACCGCCTGACTATCTGCGAAAGGAGTATCAGTTGACCGGTAAATGAACACGTGAAGTCAAATGTGTGCGGGGCAACGCGGGGCAGTACAAGCGGCCTGGGGTTGAAAAGCAGAAGTGTGTCCCAGTAGAAGGTACAACGCGTGGGGATTCAATTGCGTCACGTTGCTTTTGCCGCCCTGCTTTCGGCGCATGTTCACCATTACGGAGTTTCCATGTTCTCTGATGTGACTCGCATGTGTTGCTTGAACATTGCGCTCAGGTGTGGCTAGTGCGGCCCATGGTGCATCGCAAGTTTCGCCGAATGCGGCGGTCGCGTCTAGCGTCGGTGCGAGCGATGAGGATGTGGGTAGCGATGGCGAAGGGGAGGCTGCGCCTGTCCGATCCAAGGCTGTTGCCTCCGTTATGGCCGAAGAGCCTAGCGCGGCAAAAGGAAAGGCTGCGGCGTCTCCGCTTAAACCGGTGGCTAACAACCCCTTTGAGGCAATGCCCTCCGCATCTGCGCAGCTGTCAAGTGGATCTCGTCAGGATGAGACGGTTGCCGATGACGCCGTCGTGATTAGCCGCGCCGACCTCGAGGCGCTGAAGACGGCGAGAGACGAGGGCGAGCGTCGGATTGCGCGGCTGGAGGCGCTGCTGCTGGCCATAAACGAGAGGGAAACACACAACAAGAGGCCGAGGGGTCTGAGGGAGGAACGGGTGCAGGGTGATGCGTGGCCGCGCAAGCGCAGGCGGGTCGAATCGGGCTCGGAGGACGCAACATCGGAGGAGGGAGAGGAAGAAGATGCGGAGGCGGAGCCAGTGAGGGCACGCCGTGTGGTCCGGCGGCGCCACATGACAGTGTCGAGCTCACCCATACTTCATGAGGCATTTGATTTCCTGCCGTCCGGCAAAGCATGGAAGGTGAGCGCCCTAGGACATGGGGACACATACTCAAAAATATGCATTGCGGGTGGTCTAATGTCTGCCACGCTGCTGTTTGTGCGTTCTTGTACTGTGGGAAACCTTGGTGTGTGCCGTGTCGTGGACATGGCAAAGAACGTGCAACCATGTGCGGGAGTTCCTGTTCATCGAGCGGGCCAATGATGTCATGACCTTTTACCCAAGCAGCCACGACAAGACGCTCGGATTATGCTAGGTCACACCACGATTGACGTTGAATTATGCGGGGCTTGCACTGGCGGCCGACAAGGCGCGATGCGCTGACCTGAACAAGGCACTCAGCCAGTGGAAGATAGAGGTGACGGGCCGCGTTCGAGACATTGCGCTGCCGCGCATTGGCCTATGGCGCAACGAGCGAGACAGGAAAAGCCCGTGGGCATGCAAGAAGCGCAGAGAGGCGGCCGAAGTTCAGCTTCGGTATCGCGTGCTGGACGACGTGAACGGTATGCGGCGGGGTGTCAACATCCAGGGTTCCTGTATGTAGCTCAGCTGACGGTGTGTTACGTTGCACATGTGTGTGGGCAGAAGATTTGACATTGTCAACCTGGAGCGAGAGCAGGACTGGAATGATCTTTGCGTCGGGAGCGTTCACGGCATGTGCCGTGACCGCCTTCCAGCCCAAGAAGGTCACGGGAGGGGTGACCATGAAACTGTACCAGATGGCGTGGCTCGAGCATGTGGTGAGTTGCATCTCAATCCCCGTTCAGCCCACCCGTGCGCGGGAGTGATGTGTGTGTGCGATATGTTTGTTGTTTCACGCAGGTTACCGACACGGTTCTTAACTGGGACAAGCGCAAGGCCCGCCTATCAAACTCTGCTGGTGGCAACGCGGAGGTGGTGAACGGCCTCCACCAGGTCGCCGAGGGGGCAGTGGCGCAAGCGATCCAAGACTTCAAGCCCAAGTACGATGCTGATGCCCAGGCGTGGGTATGGGGGGAGCACGGGCTGATGCTGTCCTCGTGCGGGCTAGAGCACTTGATTCGAGGCCGTTACGCGCAGAGGGCGCCAATCGTGGAAGACGGTGGTTCGGTTTCTCTGGGCACTGATTGAAGTTGGTAGTGAGGCGCCCCTAAACCCTGTACATGGACACGGGCTTCCACTCTTTGTATTTCACGCATGTTAGAAGGATATACGTTTGTGGGGTTAGCGTTCGACGAGGTGGGGATGTAGTAAGACGGCGTCAAGCGGTAGTGTGTGGACGTAATTGGCAACGGTGTGTTATGTAGCAACCCGGGTGTGATGTGTGCGATGTTGTGGTGTGTTGCGACATTGAATAAATTACTTGTAAGCGCGCATACTTGTGTGGCGTAACGTGGTGTGCTATACGCGCGCAAGCAGTGCGCAAAGCTCGCAATAACGCGTACAATTCGGCAGTAAACGGATACCTTACCGTGTCGCGATCGGGTGGTGGTACGACGGCGCACAGTGGTGGGATCGACGGTTGGTATTCACGCCGCGAATACCGCCGCCTAGTTGAGATGAAGCCAGGATGCATGCGTGACGCGTGTGTGCAAAGTGGCACATTGGGTGTACGAGGCGTGGGTAACTTTGCGGCGAAGTATCCGGCAGTGTTCGGAGTGCGCGCTGATTGGGTGGCGTGTGAGGAGTGCGCGGAAAACAGTGGGGTTGCGATGGAGCGAAATACGCGGGCGACGGCGGTTGGAGCCAATCCCGGCATCCAGTGATGTCACTGTGTTACGCTCTACCGCGACTTGATTGGGCGTGGAGGTGGTGTGCGGAACATGCGGCCCAACAGTGTGCTCCGTGACGCGCGCGGTAGTGTTCGATGTCGTGCTGGGATTGGGCGTTGTCAGGTTCGCGAATGCGCGCTAGTGGTGCACGAAGGTGTCCGCGTATGCAGTAAAGTGGTGGATGAAGCGGGGTTACCATGCCGTGTGCCAGTAGATAGCACACACGTGCTGGAGACTCGTTGGTGTACGTTTCATGGCCTACAGCGTACGGGATCAGATCCGAGTACGGTTCTCGTTGCCACGGTGGCGCCGTGTTGTAATTGATCGGTGGCAACATGGAGGTGATCTTTCGACAACATGCACGCAACTGCACGGCAGGCTATTAGTGACTTGAAGTTGGGCGGAATGTTGCGGAATGGTGGCTGCAGGTTTGCAGGATTGTTGCAAGAGAGTTGCGGAAGGGCAACTTTTTTGCAAGAATTTCGCAATCCGCATTTCTGCAACATTTGACCATAACTGGAAAGTTGCAAAACCATGGTATCCAAAAAGTATCCTTTTTGCAACATTCCCGCAGCTTTTATGGTAACAAGCCCTTTTTCGCGATGTAGACTTGGGAAACCGGGGTGGGGAAGTGCAGAGACAGAAAAGCTGGGGGATTGCCAATGCGCATTGGTGATTCGACACAGTCTCCCCCCAGCTTATCTTACAGGCGCCTCAAGAATACGGGGTGGGGGAGAGCAGCGACAGAGGGCCAGGGGATTGCCAATGCGCATTGATGATTCGACAGAGTTTACCACCAGCTTATCTTTAGGCGCCTCAAGAGTACGGGGTGGGGGAGAGCAGCGACAGAAGGCCGGGGGATCGCCAATGCGCATTGATGATTCGACAGAGTTTACTGCCAGCTTATCTTTAGGTGCCTCAAGAATACGGGGTGGGGGAGAGCAGCGACAGCGGGGCCATGTGATCCCCAATGCGCATTGGTATCTCGACAGAGTTTACCGCCAGCTTCACTCGCGCATTGTTCACCTTCAGCTTAAAAACTACAAGTCGCATTCGCTTAGTTGCAGAAGCAGTATCGCCAATTCGTGCTGGTGATTCGACACAGTTTATCCAAGCTTCAGCCACTTTTCCTCCTCAAATTAAACACCATTCATTCGCGTTATGAGGCGCCTCAAAAAGCATCAGTAGTTAGTTAAACACAGTTTGCCCCCAGTTTCAACACTACAAAAACTGCGGATTTTGACCCATAAGGCAGAGCCATGGGAGTGCGAATCTTCATGGGAGTTGAAAGTTAAACATCACGTGCCTTTGCCGATGTAGGAAAACAGGAATATTTATGCTGCAAGAACGGAATTCATTTTCATCCGAATTCATACTGCAATTACTGACAACTTTTTATCCGGATCTTCCCTCTCCCTGTTTGTAATGCGACAGGTCTCTGCAACGGAGAATATTGCATACGACTACACCCGCAGTGGTAACCCTACGAGGGACGCCCTTGAAAAGTAAGTTGGATGTGAGTGGGAAGTGTGAGGGAAGTGTGTGGGAAGTGAGTGGGAAGTGAGTGAGAGGGAAGTGTGTGTGAAATGGGTGGGAAGTGAGTGGGAAGTGTGTGTGAAGTGATTTTGAAACGAAGGGAGGTGTGGGAGGAAAAAAGGGAAACACTTTTCTTCTGAACAGCACCTTTTTCCTTCGCTCAAAGAAACACCTATCTTTTCTTCCCAACATCACCTCTCTCTTTCTTCTCAAACGGCACCTCTCCCGTTCTTCCCATCAATCAACATCTCCCCCAGTTTTCGCAACTATGCGTTAGCCTTTCTAATCAACGTATGCTGCTCTTTCTTCTTGCCTACCGCTTCCCCCGCTTCCGCCCGCTTCCCCCGCTTCTCCCCGCTTCTCCACGCTTCTCCCCACTTCTCCACATTTCTCGTCCATGCAGGCTGCTAGCAGAGGTGGAGAGGGCGCATCATGCTTGTGCCTTGGCACCTCTCCTGTCCTTACCGCTTTTCTCTCCCCACGCTTCTTTTCTTCTGCAGGCTGCTAGCAGATGTGGAGGGGGCGCATCATGCCTTTGCCTTCAGCACCAGGATGGCGGCACTTGCTGCAGCCACCAGGCTGGTTACCACCGGTGAGATCTCGTTACGGCTGGCGAATTTTGTAACCGCATGTGAGGTTGTTACTAATGATGAGACTCGTTACTGCTGAAGAAATTCGTTACCACCGATGAAAATTCTTCATTGCCTAGTCCGTCCTCCTGCACCTTTGTTTGGCATTTCATGTAGGGCTTCCAAAAGGAGATAGCAACACTGCCTCCTCCGTCCTACCCATGTGCTTTGTTCATTCCCTGCCTACCACCTCATGCCCCTCCCTTCCTTGCCACTTGCCTCTTTCCCTTTCAGGTCGTCCACTGTGGCGATTGATGAAATCGATGGGGGCAAGGTCACACACACCGGTGCATCGACCCCCTTCACTTGCCTCCTGCCCCAGCCTCCCTGGCGCCTCCTTTCCACCCCCCTCTTCTCCTCACAGGTTCCTCAATGGTACCGAGTGACGCACATACAGCAGCGCGGAGCGGACTGGCTGCTCCCTCCCCACAATGCATAAGAGGGAACCATGGAACCCCATCAATCACTCGCTTTCTCCCCCCCCCCACTCCCCCCCCACCAACCCCCCCCAAACCACCCCCTTCCCCCTGGCCCGTATGCGTCCCCTGCCTGCAGGGTGCGCGATAGTGGCAGGCAACGATATCTATGGCGGCACGGACCGCCTTCTGTCACGAGTGGTGCCTCGTGCAGGTGTTGCTGTTAGGTGGGTGCTCTGCTGCTTTCAGGTGGGTCTTCTGTTGCTGCCAGGTGGGCCTTATGTTCCTGTCAGGCGGGTGATTGGTGCTCTTAGGTGGGAGTTATGTTTCTGTCAGGTGGGTCTTCTGTTGCTCTCAGGTGCGTGTTCTGGTGCTGTTAGGTGCTGTTGCTTTCAGGTGGCCAGTATGTTTCGGTCAGGTGGAATTGCTGCTGCTTTTAGCTGACTCCACTGCTGCTTTCAGGCTGGTCTTCCTCTCCTCTGCTTTGCTCCTTCGCTCCAGGCGAGTCGACACAACACAACCGGCTTAGAAGCAGTGAGGGCGGCAGTGCAACCCGCCACCAAGCTGGTCGTCATGGAGAGCCTCGCCTCGCCAACCCCTGTCCATTTCTCACTCTACTCACCATCCCTCCTCTTTCCCCTTTCTTCTCTTTTGCTCTCCCTTTCCCTCTCCGTGCTGTCTCCCACCAGGCGAGTGGACACAAGTGACCTAGAAGCAGTGAGGGCGGAAGTGGGAGAAGACACCAAGCTGGTCGTCATGGAAAGCCCCACCAACCCGCGCATGATGATCAGCAATATCAGGGTGAGTCGGAGCACTGCTTTGCATTGTATTGCACCGCACTGGACTGGACTGTACTGCACTGTACTGCGCTGTAGCACACTGTGCCCCTGTACCACCGATCATCTGCTGGTCGATATGGTTACCTCCACCAACCCGTGCACGATGATGAGCGATATCAAGGCAAGTCACCGCGCTACACTACATTGCACCACCCGACACTGCGCTACACTCCTTCCCCCTTCCTCTTCTCCCAATGGCTCAGACTATCTTATAACAAACAGTTGCTACTTATACCTCTCATGCTGTCGTAGCTGCTGCAGCCGATACCAATGCCCAACCCTCCCCCCCCTCTCTCTCCCTTCCGCCGGACCGCTAATACCAATGCCTACCAACCGCCCACGCAGTGGGTGCGCTGCTACTGGAGGACAACAGCATCATGCCACTCGAGCTACCAAACCCAATATCGCTTCCCTTTCTCTTCCCCCCCCCCCTGCCTTGCAGCCCATAACGAACATAGCCCTTTCAGTGAGCGCGCTGCTGCTACTCGTGCTGTCACAGCCGACAAAGCTTACAACAGGGACCCTTCCACGTATCTGTCCTTTCCCTTCCGCCAGGCCATAGCAAACATAGCCCACTTAGTGGGAGCGGTGCTGGTGGTGGACAACAGCATCATGTCGCCCGTGCTGTCACGGCCGCTGCAGCTGGGAGCAGACATTGTGATCCTTAGCGGCACCAAGTTTATCAGCGGGCACAGCGATGTCATGTCTGGCATAGTAGCTGTCAATGACCCAGAGTGAGTGATGAGGAAACGCAAACACATCTGCACACACACACACACACACTCATACACATCTACACACACACACACACACTTATACATATCTACAGTGACACACACACACACACTCAAACCCATTCTCTCACAGCCCCTGCAGCTAGGAGTAGACATTGTGATGCACAGCGGCACCAAGTTGATCGTGACGTGATGGCTGGCATACTGGCTAACAACGATCCAGAGTGGGTGAGCGAGTGTCTATCTCAAGTGTGTCTCTCAAGGGGATGAAGGACGTATATGCGTGCTCGCACCCGCATCCTCTCGTGCCCCCACCCCTCTCAGCGTGGCTCCAGAAATCTCCTGTGTGCAGAATGCAAAAGGCTCACGGCTGAGCCCCTCTAGAGATCTCTCTTATCGCAAGTGCCAACTACCCCGTCCTTCCCTTCTTCCTTTTTCCTCGTCTCCCACTCGCCCAGCCTGGCAAAAGAAATTCACTTTGTGTAGAATGCAGAGGGGTCTGTGAAAGTTTAGAAGAAAGAAGAGGGTTGCACTAGCAAGAATGAGGATACAAATAGCAAACCCTAGAAGGGTTGTACTCGCTATAGAGCACCCCACTACAGGCTAGAGCATAATATTCTGACACACCCCCATAGCCAAAGTGGGGTGTAATCAGCAGAGCAAGCAAGGCAGTACAAGATCAGGGTGGATCACAATGTCACCACACATTCTGAGCACAAGTTCAAGAAGCAATAGTTTAAAGTTCACAATTATGAGCAAAGCTAGAGGCTATCGCAGAGGGCTAGTGTGGAGGAGGAGGGACTATGAGAGGAGAGGAGGTAGTGGGCGGCAGCTGAAGCTGCTGGCACACGGCGCAACTGGAGCAACTGGCACACGGGCAACTGGAGCAACTGGCACACTAGCAACTGCAGCAACTGGCACACGGGCTACTGGAGTAACTGGCTCCGCGGCTAAAAGTAGCGGCAGACGACCAATGGACTCACGGGCGACTAGAGCAACGGGCTCACGGGCGACTGGCGCAACGGGCTCACGGGCGACTGGCGCAACGGTCTCACGGGCGACTGGAGCTGCTGGCTTCTCGGCGGCCACCCCCTTCAACCTCCCCAAACTATCCCACCCCCATTTCACACACCCCCTACTGCACCCCTAGGGTCACTCACACCCCACCCCCTAGCACCACTCCGTCGACTCCCACACACCCACCCCCCTCAGCGGCAGCTGCAGCAGTGGGAGACAGAGGAGGAGGAGGAGCAGGGGAGACCACACACCTGCCACCCCCCACTCGCCACCCCCAAACCCGAACACAGGGCAGGGCGGGATGGCGGGTAGAGAGGTTACGGGGGGGGGGGGGGGGGGGCGACGCGCGGCCTCTCTGGGCGCCAAAACAGGCGGCAGAAGGGGCGACGCTCGCCCCCCTCCCCCAGGTCGCCCCTCCCGCACGCGGGCCCCTCAGGTCGCCTCGACAGGCGACGGGAAAAGGGGGGGGGGGGGGGGGGGAGGGGCGGTGCACGTGCCTCCGGTGCGCCGCGGCTGGCGACGAGGCATGGCCGGGGCGGAGCCGGGGGCGCAAGTGGCGGCGACGGGGCCGCTGGCGGCGACGACGGGGCCGCTGGCGGCGGTTCGGGGCCGATAGGAGCGGCGACGGGGGGCAACGCGCGGGTCCCCGTCGCCCGTCGCAGCGCCTCCCCGGGGCGACGCGCCGAGTGACGGGGCAGAAAACCGTCGCGCGCCTCGGGGTGCACGGCGGGCAGAAAACCGCCGCGCGCCTCGGGGCGCACGGCGGGCAGAAAACCGCCGCGCGCCTCGGGGCGCACGGCGGGAAGAAAAACTGCCGCACGCCACGGGGCGTGCGGCACAGAGAGTAGCAGTAGCAGTTGCAGCGGAAGCAACGAGGTGGTGAGCCCACCCACAGGATCGATCCAAGGGGATCGACGTGCTCTGATAGCATGTGAAAGTTTAGAAGAAAGAAGAGGGTTGCACTAGCAAGAATTAGGATACAAATAGCAAACCCCAGAAGGGTTGTACTCGCTATAGAGCACCCCATTACAGGCTAGAGCAGAATATGCTGACAGGGTCAGGGCTGAGTCCCTTGGGAGATCTCTACCTACCCCTGTTAGATTACAACCAACCAAGTCACCCTCTCTTCCTTGCCTCCCTTCCCTGCCTCCTTTCTCTCCAATTTCCCCCTCCAGCCTGGCGAAGGAGATTTACTTTTTGCAGAATGCTAAGGGGTCAGGGTTGAGCCCCTTTGATGCTTGGGTGTGCCTGCGTGGCATCAAGACCCTGCCCTTGCACCTGGAGCGCCAGCACGTACGGGTCAACGTGTTTACGCGTGGAACGGGGAGTGTGTGTGCGTGTGTGTGTGTGTGTTTTAAGCGCTATTGCCGCGGTTGATGATCCAACAGCCAATGTCTCACCCATGCATGCTGCTGCTGCTGCTTCTCACCCTTGCACGCCGATGCGTGTGTGCAGGCGAGCGCACAGACAATAGCTGAGTTCCTGGACAGTCACCCGCGAGTGGAAAGAGTCTTCTATGCCGGCCTGCCATCCCATACCAACCGCGACCTCCACTTTTCCCAGGTGATTTCCCACCCTAGCCCACTCACACCCGTGGCCATTCCCTCTCTCACACATTCTCTATTATCATGATAGAACAATAGTTTTTGTTTGTCTCCGGCAACTATTCGCGAGTGGAAAGAGTGGTCTACGCCGGTCTGCCCTCGCATACCAACCATGGCCTCCATTTCTCCCAGGTGCCTTCCCAGCCTATGTCTCCACGCCCGATTCACACCCATGGGTATCCGCGCCACCCATGGTTATTATCGCCACCCATGGCTTTTCCCTCTCTCACACAGTGCTTGTTTGTCGCTGGCAACCCCTCCACCCGTGAGTAGACTGTTCTATGCCAGTCTGCCATCCCATGCCAACCGTGGCCTGCACTTCTCACATGTGCCTTCCCAGCCTATGTCTCCACACCCGGTTTCACACCCATGGGTATTCGCGCCACCCATGGTTATTCTCGCCACCCATGGTTTCACACACACAGTGCATGCTTGCTTCTGGCAACCCCCTATCACGCATGAAGAGGGAATAATCAATGGTCTGTCCTCCCTTGGTAAATGTGGCATGGGAGATGCTGCAATTGTCAACTTCTTTCAGGTGCTTTTGTCATTGATGTCTTTGGTATTCTTCTCAGGTTTCTCTTTCAAGTGCCTCTTCCAGGTGCTTACTTCACTCGCATCCTCCAAGATTTCTCACTCACTTGCCTCCCCAGTTAGATTTTACACTTTCGTTCTATTTCACCACTGTCAACTGGTGGTGTTCTCCATTTGTTCTCATTCAGCTTCTTTTTGTTTTCTTATCTATTCTCGATTGTTCTTTCCCCTTGCAAATCTTTCCCAATAACTACTTATACCACCTCCGTCAGGCCAAGGGTGCAGGATCAATGCTCAGTTTTACAACAGGCAACATCAATGCGTCGAGGCACATTGTTGAGACAATGAAGCTCGCTAACATTGCTGTCAGCTTCGGTAAGATGACATACGAGCAGTGTTGGGTGGAGTGAGAGCAGTGTTGGGTGGAGTGAGAGTAGTGTTGGGTGGAGTGAGAGCGGTCTCTGAGTGGGTTTCAACCATCACATGTCTTGCTGCCTCCTATCCTGAATAGATGCTCTTAAATTGGTTTTCCTACTTTGGTGTTTCGCAATTGGTGGTGTATGTTGCAGTTGTGTGAATGGAGAGAATGCATGACTGCGTTGAATGCGTGACTGCATTAAATGCATGACTGCGTTGAATGCATGACTGCATTGAATGCATGACTGCGTTGAATGCGTGACTGCGTTGAATGCGTGACTGCATTGAATGCCTGACTGCATTGAATGCGTGACTGCATTGAATGCGTGACTGCATTGAATGCGTGACTGCTTTGAATGCGTGACTGCATTGAATGCGTGACTGCATTGAATGCGTGACTGCATTGAATGCGCGACTACATTGAATGCGTGACTGCATTTAATGCATGATTCCATTTGATGCGTGACTGCATTGAATGCATGACCTTCCTTGGTAACAACGACTGCTTGATTCACGCTGTGTTCCTTGGTGCATGTCCACACTATGACTAATTTTGCATAACGGTATTGCGTGTGTGTGTGCGAGTCTACAGCATGGTGGTGCTGACTGCAACGAGGGGGCGTGCAGGCAGCATGGCGACGTCCATCAGCCTGCCGTGCTTCATGTCGCATGCAAGCATACCAGCCCACGTGCGCAAGGAACGAGGCCTCGTTGAGGACCTCATTCGCCTCTCTTTAAGGGTGCCTCTAGTTGCTCCCCTCTCTCTTTTCCCCCTTCCCCTTCCCCCTCTCCCATCTTCCCAACTGTCTTGCGTACCATACTTCTTGCAATTCAATGTTTGAATGCATTTCTAATCAGCTTCCGGTATATGCAATTTGTCTTTTCACAGGTGGGAATTGAGGACGTGGATGACCTTATTGCTGATTTGGGGAATGCGTCGCGTTTCCGCGCCCTGCCACCGAACCGGCCCCGCCCGGACGCCGACGCGGCCCCGCCAGTCTTGCAGTTGCCGCGGCCCCAACCTGCCGCTGGTGCGACCCCGCCCTGCAGCTGACGCAGCCGCGCCCTGCCGCCAACGCGGCCCCGCTTGGACGCTGACGCGGCCCCGACCTGCTGCTGGCGCAACCCCGCCCTACAGCTACCGCGGCCCTACTCTGCAGCCGCTATTGCGGCCCCGCCGAGCGCCGGCCCTGCCTGCCACTGGTGAGCACCTGCCTTGTTCGTGCGCTGCCGCCTACCTGCCTGCGTGCCTGCCTGCCCGCCTGCCTGCTTGACTGCCTGCCTGCGTGCCTGCTTGCCGGCCTGCCTGCCGGCCTGCCTGCCTGCCTGCCTGCCGCGCCTGCCCTGCACGTGCTGCTGCTGCTACTACAGCCATTGCTACTGCTACTCCTACTGCTGCTACTAGCGGCGGCCAGATGGAGCTCCAGCGACGTCCGCGTGAGTCCCTCACGCCCCAGCAGCTTCGTGGGTGGTACGTTAGTTGGGGTTGTAGGGGTGGCCGCGTTACTACTGCTACTATTGCTGCTACTGCTGTTACTGCTGCTACTGCTTCTACTGCTGTTACTACTGCTACTGCTGCTCCTACTACTACTGCTGCTACTGGCGGTCGCCAGATGCAGCTCCAGTGACGTCCACGCGAGTCTCTCATGCCCCAGCAGCTTCGTGAGTGGTACGCTCAGAGTAGAGGGTCTCTGAGTACCGGTCGCTGCCCGTACGTCATTTGTACTGGTGCTCGGACTGGTCAGGCTTGCGGGATGCTTAGTCACACACAGTCCTGCTGCTTCGCCCGTCTGAGCGACGCCTGGCGTACCGAGTTTGGCGACAAGGCTGAGCTCTCTTACTGGGTGGAGCTGCTTGGGCAGAAGGTAGATATCTATGCTCTTGACTATGAAGCTATTCTCACTACGATGTATGCATTGCCTACTAGTGCTGACCGTGCCTGTTACCTGTGCGTACCGTCTAACCCAGGTATCGAGCCTGCTGCTCTAGGTGCTGGTGAGGCTGCTGCTTTAGGGGCTAGTGTGTCTCCTGCTCTAGGTACGGGTGAGGCTGCTGCTCCAGGTGCTGGTGAGTCCGCTCTCTCTGTTACTGCGCCTACTGAGGCCTTGTACACCTTCACACTTGACTCTGGTGCTTCTTGCTCCTTTTTTCGTGACAGCACCACCCTCACGCTGCTCAGTCGGCCGGTTCCAGTCTCCCTGGCAAACCCCTCTGGGGGTCCAGTCCGTGCGACCTCCTCCACTATCCTCCTTTGTCCTGCAATTCCGTCCGGCACACTGTCGGGTCTTTACCTCCCCTCGTTCTCTACGAACTTGGTGGCGGGTTCTGCGCTCCAGGACGCGGGTGTTCACCAGTTCACCCCTACCTACGAGCGTGTGACACACTGCACGTGTGCTCAGACGGGTCGTCACCTGGCTACCTTCACTCGGCAGCCGGGGTCAGGCCTGTACACACTGCCATTGAGTCCCCTAAGGTAGCAGCATCTACGTCTGCGTTAGGTCAGTTGTCGGCCCACTACTCGTGTGGCGCCTTGTCGCACCAGACCCTCCTTTGGCACCACCGCCTTGGTCACCCCTCGGTGCAGCGCCTTCGCAGCATGCACCGCCGTGTCCTTGTCTCTGGTCTTCCCAGGGTTCTCCCTCCCCTCCCACCCTCCCCTGCTCCTCCTTATCTTCTCTGTGTCGAGGGGCGGCAGCGTGCCGCTCCTCACTCCTCCTCGTTCTCTCCAACAAAGGCTCCCTTGCAGACTCTCCACCTGGACGTGTGGGGCCCAGCCCGCATCCGTGGACAGGGCCACGAGCGGTACTTCTTGCTGGTCGTCGACGACTACACACTTTACACCACGGTCTTCCCCTTGCGCACCAAGGGTGAGGTCCCTGATGTTTTAATACCTTGGATCATGGCTGCTCGTCTCCAGCTCCGCGAGCGGTTCGGGACGGAGTTTCCCGTCGTGCGTCTGCACTCTGACAGAGGTGGGGAGTTTCCTCCGGCCTCTTGGCAGCCTTCCGTGCGGAGCACGGCATCAGCCAGATGTTCACGCTTCCGGCCTCTCCGCAGCAGAATGGGGTTGTTGAGCGCCACATTGGCTTAGTCATGGAGGGCGCTCATACCTCCATGATCCATGTGGCTGCCCCCCATTTTCTGTGGCCGTTTGCGGTCCAGTACGCCGTGCATGAGCTCAACCTCTGGCCCCATGTCTCCTTGTCGGAGACCTCGCCCACACTGCTTTGGACGGGGAAGGTTGGCAATGCGTCGTGTTTCCGAGTCTGGGGTGCTCGTGCCTTTGTCCGCGATACCACCGCGGACAAGCTATTCCTTGTGTCTTTCTTGGCTTTGTCCCTGACGCGCCTGGTTGGCAGTTTTACCACCCCACCTCGCGCCGTGTCTTCCCCTCTCATGACGTCACGTTCGACAAGTCGGTTCCCTTTTACCATCTCTTCCCCTACCGCACTGCCCCTTTCCCCCCCCGCCGCTCTTCCTCGCTCCAGGTGCTCCCAAGGTAGACCCCCTCCCCCCTCCTGGTCCTGCTTCTTCAGGTGTGTCTCAGGTAGACCCTCCTCTCTTGACTGCGTCGGTTGAGGTCACTGGTGACTCAGGTCCTAATGAGGGTGGTCCTGGTCGAGGTGCAGCTTCTGGGGGTGCTGAGCCTGGGGGTGCAGAGCCTGGGGGTACTGAGTGTGGGGGTGCTGCACCTGGGGGCGCTGAGGCGTCTAGTGAGCAGTCTCCCTGGGGCGGCCGTCTCCGTAGTCGCTCTGCTGGTACCTCGCCGCTGCACTCTCGTCATCGACTCCCTCTCTCCTCACAGTAGCTGCGTTTGTGGTACGTTGGCTGTCAGGGTCGCGCTGCTGGAGCTAGGGGCCCTGCTGTAGGAGGCGCTGGAGCTGGTGACTCTGCTACTGGAGTTGTTTCTGCTGGAGGTTCTCGAGCTGCTGAGGGTGCTGGAGCTTGAGGTCCTGGAGCTGCTGCGGGTGCTGGTGCTAGAGTTTCTGGAGCTGCTACGAATGCAGGCGCTGAGGGTTCTGAGTCTGCTGTTGCGCGGTCTTTGTAGCGGCCTTTGTCCGCGTGTGCCTCTCACCTCACAGCAGTTGCACGACTGGTACGGTCGCCGTCAGGGTCGCGCTTCTGGAGCTCGGGGCTCTGCCGCTGGAGGTACTTTTGCTAACGTCACTAGAGCTGGGAGTGGTGCTGGTCCTGTAGGTGCTCGTATTGGAGGTACTGGAGCTGCTGGGGCTGGAGGTATTGAGCCTGAGGGTGCTACTACTGGAGACCCTGGGTCTGGGGGTGCTACTGTTGGAGACACTGAGGCTAGAGACCGTGGGACTGGAGGTGCCGGTTCTGGGGGTGCTGCTGCTGGTGGAGCTGGTCCTGTAGGAGCTGGAACTGAGGGTTCAGGAGCTGCTGGAGGTGCTGGAGCTGTTGGTGCTGGTGGCACTGCACAGCCGCGCCTGTTCTTTGCTCCACTGTCTCCGTCGTTTCAGCCACCGTCTGACTCTGTGCTACGCCAGGTTCTTATACTCCCTTCGTCTACTCGTCTTCCGTTACAACCTAGCTCACCGCTGCCTGCTCCTTCTCCTTTTCACTGAGCAGACATGGGGTCTTACTGAGCGTCGTAAGTCTGCGTCGCGTCCTGTCTCTCCTGTCCGTCCAGGTCATCCTGGTCGTCCTGGTCATCGTGTTCCTCATTCGCGTCAGCCGGCTATCACCGACACCCACCTCGTAGTTTTTCGTCCTTCCTCTCGTCCGCAACGCGTTCTTGAGCCTGAGTCTGACCGCACCCGTGCAGCTCACCCTACTGTCACGCGTCTGCTAGCCACAGTTGTCACTGACCCGTCGTTTGAGTCTTCTGCTGCGTCTGCCTCAGTCACTGAGCTTGTTGACTTTGCTGCTGCCTGTCGTTTAGACTACGCCGTCAGTCTTGTTGCTGAGTCTGAGTCTGTCTGTCCTCTGTCCGTCAGGGGTGAGTTTGTTCTTGGCACGGACGTCCTTGAGGACAGGCAGGAGGGCCTTGAGTGTCTTGCTGCCACTGCGCCTCATCTCGTGTCCATGCTGCTTGCCCCTGAGGGAGAGCCGGATGCACCAAACATCTTGACCCTGCGCTCTTACGCTGAGGCGAACGAGGGTGAGTACTCTTTTCAGTGGCAGACAGCCATGGACGCACAGATGGCTTCATGGAAGTCTACAGTCACTTACGTTGACGAGGTTCCCCCTCCTAGGGCGAACATCGTCACTGGCATGTGGATTTTCAGGGTGAAGCGGCCGCCAGGTTCTCCGCCTGTCTTCAAGGCTTGTTACGTTGCTCGAAGTTTCGATCAGCGAGAGGGAGTAGACTTCTTTCAGACCTTCTCCCCCACGCCGAAGATGACCACTCTTCGGGTGCTGTTGCATTTTGCCGCTCAGCTTGACTACGAGCTTCACTCTCTTGACTTCAGCACAGCTTTCTTACAAGGCAGCCTGCACGAGGAGATCTGGCTGCGCCGCCCTCCTGGGTTCACTGGGGCGTTCCCTCCTGGTACCCAGTGGAGCCTCTGGCGGCCAGTCTACGGTCTCCGCCAGGCGCCCCGTGAGTGGCACGACACACTTAGGACTACACTTGCGGCTCTTGGGTTTGCTCCGTCGACTGCTGACCCGTCGCTGTTTCTGCGCACCGACACGTCGCTGCCGCCGTTCTACATCCTCGTGTACGTCGATGACTTGGTCTTTGCCACTGTTGACACTGAGGCTCTCGCCCTGGTGAAGTCGGAGCTGCAGAAGAGACACACGTGCACAGACCTGGGTGAACTGCGCAGCTACCTTGGCTTGTAGATCACCCAGGACAGAGCACAGCGCACCATCACCCTGACTCAGTCACACATGGTGCAGCAGGTCCTTAAGCGCTTCGGCTTCACCTGGTCCTCCCGACAGCACACTCCTCTGGCTACAGGTCACTCGCTCTCAGCTCCACCTTCAGCCTTGGCTCTGGTTCAATTTCCTGGCTTTTTACACACTCGTCTTTGGTTCTCAGCTCCAGTTGTGAGGCCACAGCCATGGTTGCACAGGAGTTACGCTGGCTCACCTACCGTCATCGCCCGGATATAAGACAATGTCGAATTGAAGACGGGGGGTGTCTTAAAAACGAGTGTATCTTATAGGTGGGTGTTCCTGATTATATGCCACCTACATGCGTGTATGACTTAAGACAGTGTCTTCTAAACAGTACTAGGGTTTAGGGTTTCCTTATAAAGGGGAGGGGTGTCTTTAAAACGGTTCTTTCATTCAGGAGGGGGTGGGGGGGGGGGGGGGGGGGTACATGCATGCATTTATCCAATCTTTACTAATTCTACCTAGCCCCCCTCGGTTACACCCTCCTCATCTGCACTAGCAGATGCAGGCTCCTGAATCCCCAAGTCTGGCACTTGCCAGGCGTGCCGGCCCGTCTGCACGGGCCCAATCATGCGGTCAGCCTCCGCCGCCGCTCCCCGGTAGTGGGGGGTCTCATGGTACAGCACATCCAGGCTGGTTGCCCCGCCCACCTCCCTGATGCCCTCCGCCTGCAGCTGCTCCTCCTCCTCCTCCTCCTCCTCCTCCTCCTCCTCCTCCTCCTCCTCGGGGGCCTTCCCAAGCAGGCGCGTGTTGTCACCAGTGGTGCCCCCGAGGCACATGTCTTCTGTGACATCGGTGGTGCTCCTCGCGCGTAGGTGGGACATCACCAGATGGTTCTCGGTCCCATCCAGCTTGATTGAGATTAGTGGCGGAACGCGTCATTGATCACCTGCCTAGGGACTTGAACCCACGCATCCGCTATCCACTACAGCACCACGGGGGTCTCCTCAGGTTCCCTGCGGGTGGGTCACATGCAGGGCAAGCGTGCCGTCAGATACGGTTCATCAAGAGGTAACTGGCAGGCATTTACTAATCACCGACAGTGGTCTCACCGTGCTTCGTCTTCAGGTAAAGGCCTTCACGCATGAACCACCTAGCGTAGCGAGCTCGCACCCCGGCCTTGAAACACCGGTTGATGGAAACGTCTAGTGGTTGAATTTGACTGGTGCAACCTGTAGGGATTACAGCGGGGATGATGCTGTGCGTGCGATAGGAGCGAAGCATGCCCTGGGTGATGTGGCCGCGGTACGAGTCCAGCACCAACATCGCGCGCTGTGCGCACTGGCCGCACTGGGGGTTGAGATGGGGCAGCCACGGGGGTCTCCTCAGGTTCCCTGCGGGTGGGTCACATGCAGGGCAAGCGTGCCGTCAAATACGGTTCATCAAGAGGTAACTGGCAGGCATTTACTAATCACCGACAGTGGTCTCACCGTGCTTCGTCTTCAGGTAAAGGCCTTCACGCATGAACCACCCAGCGTAGCGAGCTCGCACCCCGGCCTTGAAACACCGGTTGATGGAAACGTCTAGTGGTTGAATTTGACTGGTGCAACCTGTAGGGATTCCTGGGGATGATGCTGTGCGTGCGATAGGAGCGAAGCATGCCCTGGGTTTAGTGGCCGCGGTACGAGTCCAGCACCAACATCGCGCGCTGTGCGCACTGGCCGCACTGGGGGTTGAGATGCCGCACCACCTCCTTTGTCAGCCAAGTCTGCACAGCGGTCTCGTCCATCCATCCGTTGTCCTGTGCTTGGACCATCACTCCTGCCAGGCACAAATGGAGATAGGGGAGTCAACAAAACAAGGCCACAATGGTCTCTATCCATCCCAAATTCGTTTAGCTCACCTGCGGGGACGTTACACTTCGGCACGTTCTTCATTTTCAACCAAACCCACAGCCGCAACTTCTCCCCGGATGCCGTGCACGCGAGCATCACTGCCGGCCGCGTCTTCTCGTAGCCTGCCGTGCGGATCGGGACCAAGCGCGCACCACGGTGGTCAAGGGTCCTCTCGGCTGGCATCTCAACGAAGAGGGGCGTCTGATCCGCATTGATGATGCGGCTTAGGTCTATGTTGTGCCGCGCCCAGCTGATTCTTACGAACTTCCAAAAATACTCGCACTCTTTTGCGCATTCTGCCAAGGCAAAAAAGCACACACAAGGAGGGGATGAGTCGGGATATGCAGGTTTATAACGTGGTAAGCACAGGGAGTTGACAATCCGCAGTGAATTCACAGCCTAGAACCACTCACCAGCAGACAACCGCTGGCCAACCTTTGTCTTCACTCGCATGACGAGATTCCAGCAGTCGCGGAAACGTTGGCTCCAGCGGGAGCTCGCGTTCCAGTTCTTCCCGGGATGGTGCTTCTTCATCCACTCGCGACTCCACTTTTACGTGTCCTTGACCGAGATCGCCACCCCATTCGCGAGATGCAGACAGATGTAGCGGTACAGCGCCGCCTCCATGTCGGGGTGGTGTGAGTGGCGGCCCGCTCCATGCATGCGCTTGCGAGAATTCGCAGCGCCCTTGTACATGCCCGCTGCAGCCTGCGCGCTCCAGCGTCTGATGCACGCGATTCTCGCCGAAGACTCGGCCGAGGTCTTCTTGAGGGAGTTGAGCTCCGCGTAGCGACGCGCCCACTTCACCTTTTCGCGCACGAACCAGCTCCGCCTGGTCCTCTTAATCCCGCGACTGCGTGGGGAAGGGGGGCGGTAGTTAGCATTACGGATGGTGGGGTCTTTTGGCTTCGCCTTCTCAGGGAATGAAGGCATGGGGCCTGCAGCCTCCGCGTAGTCGTCGTCACTGCCCTGCGCCTCGTTTACCAGGATGTCGTCTTTGTTCTTGCCAACCTTCTTCTTCTACCTCTTCGCGCCTTTGCTTGAACCCGGGTCGCCATCGTCCTTCCGCTTCTTCTTGCTCTGGCAGACGCGCGGGGCGACCTTAGCAGGAACCTCCACCACCTTACCCTTCCCCTTGTCAGCAGCAGAAAGGCGGGGTCGCTGCTCCTCATCCGGCCTATCGTCGTCCGAGAGCACCACTCAGGTTTTTCTCCAGGACACGCCTAGGCGGTGACGCAGCCGCCTCTTCAACAGAGGCACGTCGTCATTTGACGAGACGCACCATGGGTCGTCCGCGTCGTCCTCGCCATCGAAGAAGACAGCATCACGGCCATCACCCGCCTCCGCCACCACAACAGCAGCCGTATCTGCGCCGGTTTCAGCATCCGCATCTGCATCCGCCTCCGCATCCGATCCCGCTTCGTCATCTGCCTCCGCCTCCGCATCCCCATGCACTGGTGCATCCGCATCCGCAACCGAATCACGCATCGCTCCCGCGGGCACATCCGCAGTAGCCGCCGCCTGAGCTTCTACCGTCGCATCCGCCGCCGCATCATCAACGGCATCCGCGCCTCCATCGTCGTCATCGTCACTGGCGCGCAACTCCTCCACATCGTCGCCGGAGCCTATCGGCTGCATCCACCAGTCATCATCGTAGATGCCTCCGGCAGGCACCTCGTCACCAGATTCACTGTCGTCGTGGCCGTTCTCCGGCCAGACCTCTTCGTCCTCGTCGCCATGATCTTCGTCGTCAGCGTCTTCGTTGCCCTCGTCCTCGTCACAACTTGCGCCAGAGCCGGCGTTGGAGCACCCCGCCGGTTGGCGCTTCTCTTTCGCCATGTCTATCCGGATGTCATCACCGGGCGAGTTGATGCGCCCATGGTTGGTAACCTGGACGTTAGGGAGAGGAGACGGCGCAATTCAAGGGTGCTTACTACGCATGATAGAGCCTGCTTAGAGCTAAGGTTGAGCCACTTTCGAGTTCCAAGAGCTAAAAATGAAGCTCAACCTCGACTACCCCCCGTTCTAGAGTGCCCCCTCCCTTGGAAGACGAGCCGCTCCTCTACGGCAAATTTGCTCGTAGAGGCCAGCTCAGGATGGCGGGATGCTGCCATCGTGCTGCTGGCAGCGTTCTAGAAGGCTCTGTTCCCTGCTGGCAGCAAAACGACACTAGAAGCATCATGAGATGCTGCCAGCAGGGCGGGATTCTGCCAGCACAAGCAGCATTGATGCTTTACATCACGTGGCACGAGGTGGCAGCGCATGAATCGCATCAATATGTGGCTGTATTCAATGAATCCACCCCGTGGGTGGTTTCTACAGTCTTCCCGAATGTTACATGGTTCTTATAAATTTTGCCTATTTATAAGAACTATAAGACACCCCAAACCGTCCCAGATATAAGACACAGCAAGCATTTTTTCTAATGTATAAGATAAGACATATATGTCTTCTATCCGGGCGATGACGGTACCAGCTGACCGACTTGGAAGAGCGGCCTCGTTCTCCTCCAGTGCCGTACGTCAACAACAAGGCCGCCATTGCCTTATCTCAGGAGCATAGACTGGAGCACAGAACGAAGCATATCGCTCTGCGTTACTTCCTGGCTCGAGAGTTGCAGCAGCGTGGTAAGCTTCGTCTTGCTCACGTGGCCACTCGGGCCAACACTGCTGATATATTCACCAAGGCACTTCCGTCTGGTGATCATCAGCGCTTCTGCACTTTGTTAGGCCTTGTGCCCACTTTTCCTCACTTGTTGTAGACTTTGTTTGTACTGTGATCTATATATATACCTGCTTGTTTGCTCTGCTAGGTAGAGATCACTGTGTTGTTGTTCTTGCATATATACTTCTACATGTGAACTGGCATTGTGGCCCTTTACTTGTGCTCAGTGTGTATGGTGACGTTGTGATCCACCCTGAGCTTGCTTTGCTTCTCTTGACTGGTCTTGTGACCCCTTGCTCTCCCCTATTTTGCCTATGGGGGTGTGTCAAATCATATATGTACTATATATGCTTAGGCTGTAGTGGGGTAGCCAATATGGGGTACAACCCCTTTTAGGGTTCTATATTTGTACCCATCTCTTTCTTAGTTGATCATTCCTACTGCCAGATTTTAACATGCTATAGACACAGCCTCTTTCGCATGAACAATCAGACATGATCACACGAGAATATTAGGTGTCTCATCTCACCATTGTTTTCTTTTTCATTACCGTAATATGATTGAAGTTGTACAGTACTATGCTTTCCTTAATGATGAATATACCATGCATTCTGGTGAAACTACAGGACCTTATTGTATGACCTCATAGAGATTGGGAACCCATTCTGATTGACTTGGCAACAAGTTGAACAAAAGAAGTCCAGCTCTACCGTACAAGTAGACATACAAATTGGCTGCGTTCTGCAGGCACGACAGAGGGGGGGGAGGTGGTAAATAGGAACCTTCCTCCAACAGCGTTATTTTGATCAAACGCCCGGTCAGCCCGGAAAATGGATCCGAGCCTCCCATTTACTCTCCGAACGTAAACGAAGGTAAATGGCAACAGAACAACCATTTACCCTCGTGGATATGAGGGCGTAGGAAGCTGCCTATTTCCCCACCCCAACTTCCTTCTTTGGCAAAATTTGCCTCCTCCTCCCCCCCTTTCGAAAACTGCTCTTGCCCGAGATGTGAGACGGAGGGGGGAGGGAGGCGCTGGGTTAGGGAACACCAAGGTTGAACCCTAGAAAGCAAACAGCCCCTTCCTTAAGTAGCCCAAACAGGGACGCGTCAACCTAGGTAAAAAAAGCACAAGCCACCAACCTCCTCGAATAGAGTTGAAAACCCTTTTCTACGTGGTCGCCCTTTGCTAAACTTCAATCCTTTTCTGATTTCGTACAGTTCTCTGTACCCCACCTCTGTGCGTTGGAAATTGTGGCTGTTTTTTTCGGCATTTATCTTCAGCAGCTTCGCACCCTAAACCCGGAATTTCCAACTTTCGGTTGTAGCGGGGGGGGGTGTCAAATGTAATTCTATGCTTGTAGGCTACAATGAGTAGCACAATAGGGAGTACAGTTGCTAGGGTTGCATTTTTGTACTCTCACACTTTCTAGTTTCGCCCATTCCATTGCATTCCTATTCTAAGATGGTATCACAAGTAGGTTAGATCCTCGTTCGTTTTTAGCTAGCCTCCGCGCCCTACGCGCCCTCCGTGCTCTTGCGCCCTCCGCACCCTCCGCGCCCTCCTCGCGCCTAGCCCGCGCCCTCCCGCGCTATCCAGCCTATCGCGCACCCTCCTTAGACCTCCGTGCACCCTCCTCCACTGTTGGGTGCCCTCCAAAACCGTCGTGCGCTCTCCTTAGACCGCCGGGCGCCCTCCTCCACCGTCGCGCGCCCTCCTCCGTCAACGCTTCCCGCACACCTGCGTGCGCTTCCCGCACACTAGTGTGCGCTTACCGCACACCTGCGTGCATTTACCGCATCACTCTGTGTGCGCTTCCCGCACACCTGCGTGCGCTTCCCGCACACCTGCGTGCACCTACCGCACACCTGCGTGCGTTTACCGCACACCTGCGTACACTTACCGCATCACTCTGTACGATTACTGCATCTCTCTCTCCTTCATCTGTGCACCGGTCCCACGCCATTCCTGCTGCACTTGGGTCCTGGCTCAGCGGCAGGCAGCCACTCTTCCCTCCGGTAGCGCCACCAAGTTTCGGTTAGAGCCCCGCCCCACGACTATTTTCTCGCCGACTGTCTCTCGTCAGTTTCCCCGCTGGCGTCCCTAGCCCTCTGTAGTTTTCCTCCTCGTTCTTAGCTCCGCCTCCACCGTGCTCCAGTTGCCTCTAGCATGGGCTCCGCTATGGAGGCCCGTTGTGTGAGGATCTAGGATCGAGTTCAGAAAAGACAATGAAAATTGAGTCGAATTGAATGTTCACCTGGGTACAACACGAGGCTATATATAGGCTCGACACAAGGCCCCGTAACCAGGTGTTACGCGAAGGTTCCGCGGGCCGTGTAGCGTCCCGAACGGATCCTTACCGAATTCGGTAGAAGGCGATTCGGTGGCAACCGAAAAGCCAGAACTCGGTGCACGCAACCTAGCTCGGTGCTATAACTATAATAAAATATAGGAAAGCACCTAGCCTAGGAAATCAAGCAATTCATGCATGCATATAATTATCCTATGCTAGAAATAGCATGATAAGGTAAAGGCAAGCAAGCATAGCTGGCATAAGCCATCGTACTCTCACACATCCCCCCCTCAAAGTTGGGTGGCGTGAGATACACCGTGCTTGACAAGATAGTCCTTGAGAGCACGGCGTGCGTTGCCCATATCAGCTTCTGCAACCCAGCTGTCCTCAGTGTGGTCGTATCCCTTCCACCGTATCAGGAACTCGAGGGTCTTGCCGCCGCGGCACCGATGAGAGAGAACGCGCTCGATCTCGTACTCGGGTTCATCCTGTACAAGAACAGGTGGAGGTGGCGGTAGCTGCCGTCCCTTGAACTGTTGGTTGGGGTCCTTGTAGGGTTTCAGTAGCTGCACATGGAAAGCATTGTGAAGCTTCCACGTATCTGGTAAGCGCAAGCGGAATGTAACTGGTGTCACCTGTGCCTCAACGAGAAAAGGACCACAGAAGCGAGGCCGGATTTTGGATGGGAGGTGAGACAGGTTCAAGTTGCGCGTGTCAAGAAGCACCTGATCTCCGACTGCTACTGAGTGATCACGTCGCTGACGATCGGCATACTGCTTCTGGAAGGTCTGCATCGTGGTGAGTCGTCGCTGAGTCTTCTCCCATAGCTGCTGCGTGGTGGTGACGAAGTCATGTGCGGCTTGGACGTGTGCCGGTGTAGTTGGCTGCTGTGGTATGAGTGGTTCCCGTCCGTAACACAGGAAGAAAGGAGTTTTCCCTATGGCCGCATGTGATGCGTTGTTGTAAGCGAACTCTAGGGTCGGTAACTGTGTGTCCTAGTGGCTGACGTCGTCCTTGCAAGCTGTGCGCAGTAACTGTTCAACCACTTGATTGAGTCGCTCTGTCTGTCCGTCAGTCTGGGGATGGTATGCTGAAGACATTGCAAGCTTTGTCCCCAACAGTCCCATGAGCTCCTTCCAGAACTTACTGGTGAATTTTGGGTCTCTGTCTGAGATGAGTGTAGCGGGGATGCCGTGGATGGTGATGATGCGGTCGTAGAAGAGGCGAGCAGTTGCTTCAGCTGTAGCTGTGGCGTTGGTCGGTATGAAGTGACCCATTTTGGAGAACTTATCGATGACTACGAGGATGGAATCGTGCCCCTGTGAGGTCGAAGGAAGTCCGGTGATGAAGTCGAGGCTAACGACCTGCCATGGCTGCTCCGGTACGGGTAGAGGCTGAAGTAACCCTGCTTTTTTTTGCTTGCTGCTCTTCATCCGCTAGCACGTGTCGCATGAGGTGACGAACTGCTGCACGTCTGCTGCCATCCCGGGCCAGTAGTAATACTTCGCTATCCCTGCTAATGTCTTGTTGCTCCCGAAATGTCCCGCGTATGGTACGTCGTGAAACTCCTCCAATAGGATCTGCCGTAGCGGGGCGTAATTCGGTACCCAAATTTTTCCTGAACCCTTTCTTACAGCTAAGTCTTTCTCCCACTGTAATAGCTTCTTGGTCTGTGCTGTAGCAAACTCTGCGTCCACGGAGTACCCATGTTGGAATAGACCTTTGAGCAGAGGGTTCATCCCGTCGAGCTGGATGCCTGCTACATGTCCGGGGCGGCTCAACGCGTCTGCCTTGTTGTGTAGCCCGGGCTTGTAGACGATGTCGTAGTGGAAGTGAGTTTCCAGGAAGTCCACCCACCGCACCTGTCGTCGTGAGAGTGTCGGCTGTGACTTCAGGTATTTGAGACTGCAGTGGTCAGTATAGACTGTAGCCTTGGCTCCCTCTAGGTAACACCTCCACGCCTTGAAGGCTATGACTATCGCTAAGGCTTCCTTGTCGTGAATGGGGTAGTTTAGTTCTACTCCGTGTAGCTTCTTACTGAGGTAGGCGATAGGCTGCAAACCGCGTCCGTGATCCTGCATCAGTACTGCTCCGACTGCTTGGTCACTAGCGTCTGCTTCCACCACGTAGTCCTTGTCTTGATCCGGCAAGATGAGTACTGGCGCTGTAGTCAGTGCTGTCTGTAGCTGCTCCATGGCTTGCTGATAAGGGGTATCCCATTTGTAGGGCGTATCCTTTTTCAGTAGGTCGGTCAGTGGCACTGCTATCTTAGCGTACTGCGGCACGAACCTGTTGTAGTAGTTGGCGAAACCTAGGAACTGCTGTAGCTCCTTCACGTTCTCTGGTACTTTCCACTTCTTGACGGCTTCGATCTTCCGTGGGTCCACGTTTACGCCCTCGGCACTCACCATGTGCCTGAGAAAGTGCACCTTCTTCAGGGCGAAGTCGCTCTTCGACAGCTTCACGTAGAACTTGTTTTTCCGCAGGATCTCGAACACCTTCCGTAGATGCTCCACGTGCTCCTTCATGTTCTTGGAGTAGATGAGAATGTCGTCCAGGTACACCACCACGCACTCGTCCAGCAGGGGTCGTAAGATGTGATTCATCTCCGCCTGAAACGTTGCTGGTGCGTTGCAGAGTCCGAACGGCATCACCAAGTATTCGTAGGAGCCGTATTTAGTCCGGAACGCTGTCTTGTGGACGGAGTTGTCTGCCATCTTGATCTGCCAGTAGCCCGATCGTAGGTCCAGCTTCGAAAATACTGTTGCTCCACGCAGTTGATCGAGTAGGTCGTCTATGCGCGGTATGGGATATTTGTTTTTGACTGTCTGTTTGTTCAGTGCGCGGTAGTCGATGCACATCCGTAGACTGCCGTCTGGTTTTGGAGTGAAGAGAACTGGTGCGCCGTAGGGAGAGGTGGATGGGCGGATCAGTTGTCTGTCCAGTAGATACTCTATCTGTTTTTTCATGTGTGTCAGTTCAGTCGGACTCAGTCGGTATGGTGCACGTGAGACGGGTTTCGCACCTGGTTCCTCCACGATCTCGTGCTCGTGGGTGCGTGCTGGAGGTACGCCTGCAGGTAGGTCGTCGGCATTTATCCTTGTACTGCTCCAAGACCTCCTTCACTGCTGCAGGTAGCTCGGAACTCGGCTTCTCCTCCTCTGCTGCTGCCATAACCAGTGCTAGGTAACCCGTGTTACTCTCGTTCACCGTCTGTTCGAACCGTGCCAGTGTTGTTTCAGGTATGTCCCCTGTATCCGTCCAGCTTCGCAGTGCTATCCGCTTCCCATTGTTGTAGATGCACACCTTGCTGTTGACCCAATCGATCTCGGGGTTGAATCGCTTCAGGAAATCTCGCTGTGAAAATAGGAAAACAGGAATGGATGAACTATGAATGAAAGCAGTACAAATATGAAACCCTAACTGGGTTGTACCCCCTATGGGATACCCCACTACAGCCTACACAGCAGTAAAAGCTATAGATATGTTCTGACACACCCCCATAGGCAAAGTGGGGGAGAACAAGGGGTCACAAGACCAGTCAAGCAAGACAAAGCAAAGCTGAGGGTGGATCACAAAGTCACCACACAGTCCGAGCACAGGAGCAAGGCCAAAGGCCAGTTCACAAGCAAGAGTACAGACATATATATAGAGCTAGACAAGCAAGAGCAGGTATATATATATGTCACAGTACAAGTGAAGTCAAAAGGAGAGCAAGTGAGGCAAGACAGGCACAAGACCCAGCTGGGTGCAGAAGCGCTGATGGTCACAAGGCGCAAGTGCCTTGGTGAACACATCAGCAGTGTTGGCCTCAGAGGCCACGTACGCAAGTCGCAACTGACCACGCTGCTGCAGCTCACGAGCAAGGAAGTAGCGGAGAGCAATGTGCTTCGTTCTGTGCTCCAAGCGCTGCTCTCGACACAAGGCCAGCATGGCCTTGTTGTCTACGTACAGCACTGGAGGAGAACGAGGCGGCTCTCCAAGGTCAGTCAGCAGGTAGGTGAGCCAGCGAAGCTCCTGTGCAGCCATGGCCCCGGCGTAGATCTCAGCCTCACAACTGGAGCCGAGAACCGAAGACGAGCGAGTAGACCGCCACGAGACAGAGCCGGAACCAAGGCTGAAGGTGTAACCCTGTGACGACCGCTGCGTAGCCTGGTCGTCAGCCCAAGAAGCGTCCGCGTGGCCGGTAAGGACCACTGGACTCCGCCCTCCAAGCACTAGCCCCATGCCCGACGTACTGCACAGGTAGCGCAATACCCTCTTCGCTGCAGCCATGTGCTCCGGTCTGTGTCTCCCAGGAGCAACATAGCGTGCAAGAATGCTCAGAGGGTATGCAAGGTCAGGTCGTGTGCAGGTCATCAGGTACATGAGGCAGCCAACAAGCTCCGCATACGGACCACTCGACTCTACGGACTCATCCGAAGGCAGAGCTGAGAGTGAGTGGCGAGTAGGCAGAGGAGTGGCCTGAGGCGAGGAGTACGTGAAGCCGAAGCGCTGAAGGACCTGCTGCACCATGTGTGACTGAGTCAAGGTAATGGTGCGGCGTGCTCTGTCCCGAGTGATCTGCAAGCCAAGGTAGCTGCGCAGTTCACCCAGGTCTGTGCACGTGTGTCTCTTCAACAGCTCGGACTTCACGTAGGCGAGTCCAGCAGTGTCCGCTGTGGCAAAGACCAGGTCGTCGACGTACACGAGGATGTAGAACGGCGGCAGGGAAGTGTCGGTGCGAAGAAACAGCGACGGGTCAGCAGTAGAAGGAGCAAACCCAAGAGCCGCAAGCGTAGTCCTCAGTGTGTCGTGCCACTCACGCGGTGCCTGGCGGAGACCGTAGACTGGCCGTCGGAGGCTCCACAGGGTGCCAGGAGGGAAAGTCCCAGTGAAGCCAGGTGGACGGCGAAGCCAGATCTCCTCGTGCAGGCTACCCTGCAAGAACGCAGTGCTGAAGTCGAGAGAGTGAAGCTCGTAGTCGCGCTGAGCGGCTATGTGCAGCAGCACCCGAAGAGTAGTCATCTTCGGGGTGGGAGAGAAGGTCTGAAAGTAGTCAACTCCCTGCCGCTGACTGAAGCCACGAGCAACGTACCGTGCCTTGAAGACAGGTGGAGAGCCCGGCGGCCGCTTCACCCTGAAGATCCACATGCCACTGACGATGTTCGCCCCAGGAGGGGGAACCGCGTCAACGTAGGTGCCTGTGGACTTCCAGGAAGCCATCTCTGCATCCATAGCTGCCTGCCACTGAGAGGAGTAGGGACCCTCTACGGCCTCCGCGTAAGAACGCGGAGTCGGGATGTCTAGTGCATCCGGGTCTCCCTCAGGGGCAAGCAGTACAGACGCGAGATGAGGTGAAGCAGCCGCTAGGCACTGTAACTCCTCCTGCCTGTCCTCTAGGACGTCCGTGCCAAGAGCACACTCACCCCCGACGGACGGAGGACAGACAGACGCAGACTCAGCAACAAGACTAGCAGCGTAGTCGAGACGACAGCGAGCAGCAAAGTCGACGAACTCAGCGACTAGAGCAGACGCAGCAGTGGACTCAAAAGAGGGGTCAGTGACGACAGTAGCAAGCAGACGCGTGACAGTGGGACTGGCAGCACGAAGACAGTCCGACTCAGGGTCCGCAAGCGCAGGAAGAGAGGACTCAGGAGGAGAAGGCAAAGGGGCACGCAGAGGAGCAGTGGACGGACGTAAAGACATCCGGTGCGTGCCAGGGACAGGAGGAGGACGCTGACGCGAACTGCGACCACTAGCGCGAGCAGCACGAACAGGCGACGCGGGACGAGACGCAGGCTCACGACGCTCAGCAAGACCTCCAGTAGGACCAGTGTAAGGAGAGGGAGCAGGCAGTGGAGAGGAAGGCTCCAGTAGGGGCTGCGACTGGACAGGCGGTGGACCCTCTACTGGAGGAGAAAGACCAAGAACCTGCTGAAGGAGCGGAACGAAGTACGGCCGAGGCCGCGCGGCAGCTCCAGACTCAGCAGGGACAGCACCAGCACCCTCAGCGACAGCACCAGCGCCACCCACACCTCCAGCGGCAGGACCAACAGCAGCAGGCTCAGCACGAACGCCCTCAGCAGCTCCAGCTCCAGGAGGACCTGCAGGGCCAGCAGCTCCGGGACCGGCTGCACCCGCACCCTCGACGGTCGAAGAAGCTCCAGCTCCAGCTCCAGCAGCACCTCCAGACTCAGCAGCACGCCTCCAGCGGCGAGCGAACCACTCGCGCAGCTCCTGTGGAGAGAGGGGCTCCCGGCGAGACGCAGCAGCAGGAGAAACCCCAGGCTCAGCAGCTCCAGACGCAGCACCCCCAGGCTCAGCAGCTCCCAGCTCAGCACCCCCAGGCTCAGCAGCTCCCGACCCAGCACCCCCAGACCCAGCACCTCCAGGCACAGCACCCCCCGGCTCAGCACCCCCAGGCTCCGCACCCTCCGCAGTAGCACCCTCAGGCCCAGCACCCCCAGCAGTAGCACCCCCAGGCTCAGCACCCCCGCGCACAGCACCCCCAGAGTCAGCACCCCCAGGCTCAGCACCCGCAGCAGCACCAGAGTCACCAGTAACCTCGACCGGGTCAACGGCGTCTACCTGGGACACACCTGAGGGGGCAGGAACCTGAGGGGGGAGGGGGTCTACCGGGGGGGAAACCGGCACAAGGAAGTCCGGGGGAGGGGGGAGGGAAGGAGTGCGGTAGGGGAAGAGACGGTAGAAGGGGACTGACTCGTCGAACGTGACGTCCTGGGAGGACAGAACACGACGAGAGGAGGGGTGGTAAAACTGCCACCCTGGGGCGTCAGTGGGGAAGCCAAGGAAGACACGAGGGGACAGCTTGTCCGCAGACAAGTCGCGGACAAACGCCCGAGATCCCCAGACACGGAACACAGACGCATCGCCAACCTTCCCCGTCCACAGCAAGGCTGGGGACATCGCTGGCCGAGAGACCCGGGGGTGAAGGTTGAGCTGATGCGCCGCGTACCTCACCGCAAACGGCCACAGAAAATGGGGGGCAGCCGCATGCATCATGGACGTACGAGCGACATCTATGACCATGCCAATGCGGCGCTCAGCAATCCCATTTTGCTGTGGTGAGTCCGGAAGCGTGAAGGTCTGGCGGATCCCCCGTGCACGACAGTAGTCTCGCAGAAGGCGAGAAGAGAACTCTCCGCCTCTGTCAGAGTGCAGACGCAGAACAGGAAAGTCCGAGCCGAAGCTCTTCCTGAGCTGGAGACGAGCCTCGCGGATCCAGTCGATCAGCACCTCAGTGACCGCACCCTTGCTGCGCAAGGGGAGGACTGTGGTGTAACGCGAGTAGTCGTCAACCACCAACAGGAAGTAGCGCTCGTAACCCTGCCCACGGACGGGGGCTGGGCCCCACACATCCATGTGAAGCGTCTGCAGGGGAGCCTCTGTCGGGGGGAAGTGGGAGGAGTGAGGAGTAGCCCGGAGGCGACCCTCGACACAGGGGACACAGGAAGGTCCTGGCCCGGAGGGGAGAGGAGGGAGAGACTGGGGAAGACCAGAGACAAGGACACGGGAAGCCATGCTCCGAAGACGGGGCAAGGAGGGGTGGCCAAGACGGTGGTGCCACAGGAGAGTCTCGTGAGACAAGAGGCGACAAGAACAGGGGGCAGACTCAGGACCTGACCGGGACGCAGCAGCAAGTACCTGACCCGACGCAGCCACCTGACCAGACGCAGGGACAGGAGGAGACTCAACGGTCAGGGTGTAGAGACTCGACCCCGGCCGACGTGAGAACGTGGCCAGGTGTCGGCCTGTGCGAGCCTCCGTGCAGTGGGTCACCCTCTGACGCGCAGGAGTGAACTGGTGAACACCCCCATCCTGCAGGTCCGCTCCACTCACCAAGTTCGTAGAGAACGAGGGAAGGTACAGACCCGACAGGGTGCCCGAAGGGGCAGCCGGACACGGGAGGACAGTGGAGAAGTGAGACAGGACAGGACCCCCAGAGGGGTCAGCAAGGGAGACCGCAACCGGCCTGGCGAGCGGCGAAAGGGTAGTGCGGTCTCGAAAGAAGGAGCGAGAAGCTCCGGAGTCAAGTGTGAAAGTGAGGGAGCACGAGGACGACTCAGTACCTGAGAGCGCAGTCTCACCAGTACCTGAGAGCGCAGACGCACTGGCACCTAGAGCAGCAGCCTCACAAGCACCTAGCGCAGCAGTACCAATGCCCGGGTCGGGCTGAAAATACCGGTAACCCTCATTCTCCTCACTATAATCCACAACATACATAGCAGTAAGGATAGCATCAAAATCAAGATCAAAGATCGCTACACCAGCCCTGAGAAGCTCATCCCAGCGAGGGATCTCACTAGCCCCAGGGAACTGCTGACGCCAAGCGTCCGTCAGGCGGCCAAAGCAGCGCTGGGTGGCGTGGGCACCCCCACACTGCTCACCCGCGCGGTCGCCGGAACGAAGAACGTAGGTGCAGGGACCAGTACCCCCACCCCTCTGACGCCCAGCGTACCACTCACGAAGCTGCTGAGGCGAAGGGATGTCCCGCGAGCGCTGCTGCTGCTGCCGCTGCGAGCGCTGGCCACCACCACCGCCGCTACGCTGCTGGGTACCACCCCGACCAGCTCCACCTCCTCCACCACTACTGCCTCCTCCGCTGCCGCCTCCACTGCCTCCACCTCCGCCGCCTCCACCTCCGCCGCTGCCTCCACCACCACCGCTAGCACCACCACCACCGTCTCCGCCGCTGCTGCCGCCACCACCACCACCACCCCCGCCACTAGCCCCGCCGCCACCCCCACTCCCTCCGCCGCCACCGCCGCCACCGCCACCGCCCCCTCCAGCTCCACCCGCGCCCTTGCCCCCCTTGCCCTTGCTGGAGCGACGTCTCCCACTAGGGGCAGACGCCGCGCCGACCGACTCAAGACCAAGCAGGTCAGCAGCAGCAGCAGAGGCAACAGAGGGCAGCAAGGGGGAAGGAGAGCACCCCTCAAAGATGGGGGTGCGAGGGTCACCACGAGAAGCACCTACAGCGACTATGCTCTTCTCCGCTGCAAGGAGGGCCTTCTCGAGGAGGTCGACGGTGAGAGTGGTGGGACAGACTGCGAGAAAGTGGTCCCTGACGACGCGAAGGGAGTCAGGGAGGCGTGCGACTACGTAGTAGAGAGCGATGTACATGGGGGGGGGGTTCTTAGCGCAGAACTCAGCAGGAAGGGCGGCGCGGTAGCGAGTGTCACTAGTGCGGAGGTGCGTAATGAGGTCAGCGACAGTGGGAAAGGCAGAGAGGTCAGGAAAGAGGTAGGGAAGCATGAGACGGCTCAGTGCAGCAGTGGCAGGGGAGGAGTAGCGCGCAACTACAGCGTCGTACAAGGTCTGAGCACTCTTGTACTGACTAAAGTGCGCACGCTCAGAGGTAGGGAGGTGGCGACGCACAGCAAGACGTGCAGCAGCATCGCGGGTGGCCCACTTAGAGCGGACAGCGGGATCAGCATCAGCAGCAGGGGCAGGAGAGGCGCCAGAGGTGAGGTCAAAGAGAGAAAGGTCGTCAGCCCTGTCGCACTGTAAGAACAGCTGCAGGTCGTCTAACCAGACCTCAAAATCAATGGCGCGACCCTCAGCGTCAAAAGCTAGGATACTAGGGGTAGCCATGGTGACGACAGCGACGCAGTGCAAGCAGTAGGGAAAGAGCTCGCAGTGTCAGTGGGACAGTGCTCACCAGGCAGGGCAGGTCGTGCAGTCAGCAGAAAGGCGGCTCAGCGACCGGGCGGCTCGGGTGCACAGCTGCTCGGCTCCCGGGCGGCTCGGCGGCTGGGCGGCTCGGGCGCAGGGCGGCTCGGCTCCCGGGCGGCTCGGCGGCTGGGCAGCTCGGGTGCAGGGCGGCTCGGCTCCCGGGCGGCTCGGCGGCTGGGCGGCTCGGGTGCAGGGCGGCTCGGCTCCCGGGCGGCTCGGCGGCAGGGCGGCTCGGGTCCCGGGCGGCTCGACTGCTGGGGCGGCTCGGCCGGGAGATGCAGCGTCGGGCCGGCAGGTGCAGCGTCGGGCCGGCAGGTGCAGCGGCGGGCCGGTAGGTGCAAGTGGCGGGCCGTAAGAGGCGGCGGGCCGATGGGTGCAGCGGCGGGCCGGTAGGTGCAGCGGCGGGCCGCCAGGAGCAGCGGCGGGCCGGCAGGGTGCAGCGGCGGGCCGGCAGGAGCAGCGACGGGCCGGCAGGGTGCAGCGGCGGGCCGTAGAGTGCAGCGGCGGGGCCGTCGGCAGCAGAGGCGGGGCCGCGTCAGAGGAGGCGGCGTGGCCGCGTCAGGGGAGGCGCCGGGGCCGCGTCAATGGAGGCGGCGGGGCCGCGTCAGGGGAGGCGGCGGAGTCGCGTCAGGGGAGGCGGCGGGGCCTCGTCAGGGGAGGCGGCGGGGCCGCGTCAGGGGAGGCGGCGGGGCCGCGTCAAGAGAGGCGGCGGGGCCGCGTCAAGGGAGGCGGCAGGGCCGCGTCAGGGGAGGCGGCGGGGCCGCGTTAGGGGAGGCGGCGAGGCCGCGTCAAGGGAGGCGGCGGGGCCGCGTCAAGGGAGGCGGCGGGGCCGCGTTAAAAGAGGCGGCGGGGCCGCGTCAAGGGAGGCGGCTGGGCCGCGTCAGGGGAGGCGGCAAAGCCGCGTCAGAGGAGGCGGCGGGGCCGCGAGTGAAAAGGCGACCCGAGGGGTCGCTAAAAAAAGGGCGCGCCTCGGGGCGCGCGTCGGTGGGCCCAGACAACGGTCCTAAGGTAGGACCCGCTCTATACCATGTGAAAATAGGAAAACAGGAATGGATGAACTATGAATGAAAGCAGTACAAATATGAAACCCTAACTGGGTTGTACCCCCTATGGGATACCCCACTACAGCCTACACAGCAGTATAAGCTATAGATATGTTCTGACACTCGCCCCAAGATAAAATCTAATCCTTTGATGTTGGTGACTGGTAGCTTCGGCTTCCACCTCAACGCACCTATATGCAGTTGCAGTGATGGTTCGCCGTGGATAGGAAGCTTCGTACCGTCCACCATGGTTGCTGAAAAGTGGGTCTCTTCCGCCTTCTCTCCAATTTTCTCCAATGCTCCGTGGTCACACACCGAGTGAGATGCACCGCTGTCTACCAGTGCCTGGAGGCGCCGCCCATTGCATAACACCTCGAGGAGTAGTGGTTTCTGCTGCGCTGAGTAGCCAAAGAGGGTCTCGTTAATAGGATCATAGGGTACATCAAACTTAATACCTTCCCTTTTTCCTATTCCTGACTCAGCGCTTTCCAACTTCACCTGGGGGGTAGGAGGATTTTTCCGAGGCTTGTATAATTTCTCCTGAGCCTGGATGTCTCCTCTAAGCCTTGGCAGCTGTGTAGGCTTCACCTGTGGGCGACGGGGAGCCTTAACACTGTGCTGCGTGGAGAGAATATTAACTCCACGGAACGCACGACCCTTTTCTACGCTCCGTAGTACTTTGCCCAACTTCTCAAGTACCTGAATAATTTCTAAAGGCTTCTTCTTGGCCTCTAGACCTCCCCTGAATTTTTTGAAGGCTTGTAAACCACGAGAAGCAATATTCTTCGTTAGAGCATCTTTATAGGATACTTTTGACGAATTCTTACTTTCGTGGGTGTTCGGCTGGAGTTTCCCGGTCGGTGCAGAGTCTTTTTTCGCGGAGCCTCCATTCGCCTCGGCGATTTCCCCTAATGCCGATCGGTCGTGAGGTTTTAAATTCGCGCCATCTTTTTCTCCTTTTTTCACCCGCTCCGAAGTCGCCACGTCGTCGCCTTTTCCTGCTTTTCGGATCTTTACGCGATCGCCAGGTCGATCCGCGGCTACTGGCGATTCCCGTTTTTTTACTTCGGGGGTGCTCCACTGTTTCCGTCCCGGAGTGCCGCACGTGCTTTCTTCATTTTGTAGCACGACAAAAACTGATGTCCTGCTGCGCCGCAAAATTCGCATTTTGTCGGCTGCTGCTTCGCGTCGTATTTGTCGATATCCATCGGTTCGGCGAACGTGGGGGGTGCCGATCGCTCCGTGCCGAATGTACGGTTTGGTGTGAAGCGTCGTGTTTCGGGTTGACTTCGAGTCAGCGCGTCGTATCGCTCGGCAGCACGCACGATGTCTCTGTAGCTGTTGTAATTCGCCGCAATCACCTGCCGCCGAATCTCCAGTTTTAATCCTTCGGTGTACGCCTGGATTTTTTCGCCTTCGGTCAGGTCGGTGATGCGGTTGAACAGTAACTCCATCTACTTCGTGTACTGTGTTACACTACTGTATTGCTTGTGTCGGTGTATCCGCTGCCGCGCCATGTAGGTTGTATTAATTGGTTCGAAACGCTCGATTAAATCTGCCCGAAACTGCTGCCACGTTTTCTCCCCGCGGGCTACGTCGGTATAGTAAATCCATTCGAGAGCCGGTCCACGTAACAGTGTCGCT